TTTTTTTTTTTTAAATCAAAATTATAGGAACTTCTGGAGGTGTAAAAAGGGGTAAAGAATTTGTGAAATTTCAAGCAAATGTTTCCTTTGTCATCACCCATTTGCAATTTTTTTCAAAATTTTTTCAAGCAAATTTTTTCTTTATTGTTTCGATTTCTTTTGTTTTTTTTCTTAATTGAACGTTTTTTACCACAATAAATAACATTAACAGCATTTTGATGGTGGTTCACTGGTGGTTCTTGCGAAAATTTTTTTCAAATTTCTGTTACCTCTAACCTCTTTTCAGACAGATATAACACCAAGTTACTGGGTTTTTTCTTGGATTAAACTTTTTTTTGTGGAATTTTCTACTATGTTTTAACTTAATATACTCAGCTAAGAACAATTTATTTTATTTGGATTTGTTAACTAAATTAATTGAAGTACATTGTATGAGCGTCAACTGCTTTTTTCTATCTTTTATCATACATTCTTTATCTCGTTCTTTCATCTTCTCAATTACGGTTTTGGTTTAATATGATTTTTTTTTGTATTTTGAAAAATTATTATTTGTTGTCATTAATGAATATCTAAGTTTTTTTTTGGTATTGATTTTTGATAGTTTTTTGAAAATTTTGTGTACGATGGAACTTTTTAGGGGAACCGCTAAAAACCAAGTTGATCAGTTTGCACATTAGTTGAAAGGAGAGTAAAAATTGAAGCATTTTGGACAGTTTTGTTTATTGAAAATTGAAAAAACATATAATAAGAAAAGGCTGAAGCAAAAAAGAAATTTAACCGCAATACTGTTGAGATGAAAACCGATGGACGATTGTTTTTGGGCAGTTTTTTCTTTGCTAAAGATTGGTATAAGCATAGGATATATTAGCAGGTTCAATGGTTGCATATTGTTTATGTGGAAATAAATTCGGTAAGTGCAAACTAGCCACAGATAGATGTTTGACGCTTCTTTTTAGCTTTAGCAATAATACATCTTGAATCGTTATGAAAAAGGCTTGTATTTTGTTGGGTTTTGAAAATTTTTTTCAGTGGGAGAAGAATTGTTGTTTGAAAAGATACAGAAATATTCTAATGTTTTTATTGGTTTTTGGCTTTATTGGTTATTTTAAAAAAAATAAGCAAAGCTGGGAAACTCTGTCAATGAAAGTGTCATGGTAAAAAGCCACATATCAAAAAAAAGCTTCTTTATTTTAAGCATTATCCAATCTTTGGTTTCGTGATTTATGATCACGAAATTACTGATCACGAAACTACGGATCTTTTTTTTACGTTTCACCTGACAGTATTTATGCACTAACTGATCATTTCTTTTTTAGTCAAACATTCATTTACCAAATGCATTGTTTCAAGAACAAGAAAAAAAGGAGATTACCTGTTTAACTTTACCTGTTATGCTTTTCTTTCTGTTTTTGCTCTTTGTTGGCTTTCCAGTTTACATCTTCATTTGATTCCTATAATTTTTTTCTTTTCTCGCATTTATCAACAAGGCTGTATACTTCTGGGAACTTTCGGTTTGACTTTTGTGTAAAAATACTCGTATCTTGCAAAACTTTTCTTCTGCAAACCTCCTCTTCTCTTTTTTCCCTGATAACCCTC